CTTCCTTCCGGGGAGTGGCTGGTGGGTTTGAACCGCCAGCCTTCTGGTTAGCAGTCAAGTGCCTTAGCCACTATGCTACCAGAGCTCCCAAAGGCAGAGAATGAGAAAAGAGAAACCAGGAATACTAGAAACTCTCAGAGGTGGCTTTCTGGCTTTTCTGTGTTTCAACTCTCTGACTGCGGCTCTTTGTTAACAATCCCCTTACATGTGTTTCAATGGGAATGATGCAAAGGATGAGGAGCCCTGCAGTGCAGGCAGGATGCAAGCTCTGCCCTTCAATGAAGGTTGTGACACCCCCTCAGTCAATGGAAAAATCTGACTCAGTTGGTTAGGTTGGGACAGCATTTCTGCAGTGTTTCCCTCTGTGTCAGAACAAGGCTGGGGCTGGGGAGGAGGGTGGGCGTGTGGGGGGTTGCCTGAGTGGGGAAGGTTCTGAGGCAGGTCAGGCTGCAGAGCTTCTTAATTAGAAACAGAAATTAAGGAAACAGCCTGTAATGCAGCTGTAGAAAGAAAATCTTACACACAAATTCATGAAAATGGTTACCTCTGGGGAAAACACTGGGTTTGGAGGGGTGGCCAAAGGCACTTCAGTCTTTCCTATAATGTTCATATTTAAGAAGGCAATGTATTCATGTGTTACTTGTGTGATTAAAAACTGACTTAAACTTAAATTTAAGAAAGAGAGATGTGGAGGGAAGAGGAAGAAGTGGTAAGAAAACGAGAGAGGGAGAAAGAAAAAAAACGCAGAACTAACAGCCGAGTAGGTCTCCTTGTAGGGGGTCTCCCTGGATCTTGGGATGAGGCACAGAGGGTGGGGCTCAGAAGCAATGGAAGACATGTGGAGCAAATGGCAAGGGGGAAGGGAAATGTCCCGGACCAAAAGTTCCTGGGTCACAAGAGAAGGAAATGGAATAAATAATAGAATTTTGAGAAGACAAGTCTCTGCATAAGGGAAAAATGACCCCCAGCCAGGCCCTAGCACAAACTGCCTGTCAGATTGAGATCCCAGTTTCGCACTCTCACTCAGAAGGGAGCAAATGCTAGCTCCCCAGAATCAGGCCCAGAAACCCAGGTCCTCTCTGTTCGTAGCAACTCTCTGCCAACCATGTTCCTGGTTGGGGAGAAATCCACTGCCCTGAATTTAGGAAAAGAGATACAAATATAGAGATACTGCTTCACAGGACCACCAGCAGTCCCCTTAGTTCTCTCAAACTTTCTACCAATGCTAGGCCACCCCACTCCTCCCTTGGCACACTGGGCTTCCAATCTGGTTTGCTCCTGAAAGAGAATAAGCACACTGCCATACATTCAGGGACTTCCCTGAAGATTTCCTTAGGGAGAAATCCCATGGAGGGTGCAGAACACCTCTGGGAGGAGATGACTCTGGATTTAAGATTCTGTCCTCTAGGCTCAGATAAACTACCAGAGAAGGTCATCACCCGGTTTAGCTGGAGGCAAGAGGCCTAATTTCTCTGAGTTTACCGTCTGCACTGTACCTACCACCTTAGCCCCCTTAGCCTCTGCGGGCGATTCGTTCTGGGGTCTCCATGAGGATGGGGGTGGAGAAGAACCCCTTCCAGAGATTTAGGCGGGAGGCGCTGGGGGAGAGGAGTAGGGGAGTGGGAAGGGTAGGACAGTTACCTCATTGCAGCCCTCCTGCAGGACATCCAGTAAGTTCCCCCTGGTCAGGCAGGCTAGCATTGTTCCTGCCCGGGGCTTCCCAGGCAGGGTTTCCAGGCAAGGCGGTCGCCGCCTCCTACTCCTCCCTCTTCACACAAAGACTCTCAGCTCAGCTCAGCTCATTGGGATCTCTCCGGAGTCCCGCATGCCACTTACTGGAAACCCAGACCAGAGCCAAAGTAGTGTCTTCCACTGGGCATGCTCGCACTGGTGCGTCTGCTGGAGGGGCCGAGGCGCTGTCGCGGTTCCTATAGAAACAGCTGGGCGCGCGCAGGATGAAGGGGCGCCTGTGGAGCGGGCCTACTTAAGAGAGGGCACTGCTGAAGGGTTGGCGGGAGCGCCGGCGTGTGCGCACTGCATACACAGACACACACACACGCAGGTGGGTGGGCGTGTGAGAGTGCGCTGCTGCACAGACACATCAGACTGTGCTGTCGTGTGCCTGCGCGCTGACCGCATACACGCGCGCACGCACACACACACACAGGTTACTCAAGGCGGGCGTGCCAGCTTGTGCATGCGCTTGCAGTCACACACTTAAAACACACCAGGCTTGCAAGCAGGCGTCCGTGTGAGTGTGCACCACACACACACATACACATACATACACGCTGTGCTGATTTAAGGCCACAAGCACCCCACTGCAAGGTGGGTGGGAAGGGGAGTGAATCATAGGATTTTTTTTTCCAAACTCACTGAATACAGCAACATTTTTCCACATGGCGCCTGGACAGTGAGGTTTGGCTAAACAAGGGGAAGCAGAGGGAGAAAAACAAAAAGAGAAAAAGAAGAACCTGAAAAAAAATCAAGAGGACAGAAAGAGATAATTTTCATTATTGCTGATATTAAAACACATTTAACAGAACAGTAAAAAAAACAAGTATTGTTGGATCAAAACAGAAACCTCAAGGGTAAACCAAGGTCAACCAAGGCTTTACCAAAAAATGTCTTCTAACAACTGCTAAAATGTAAAATGAGTTTTAAAATAAATACCTCAAAAATAAGTCATTCCTGAGATTGTGAAAAAGCAAATCAATATCATTTAAAATAGCTATCAAAAAAATGAAATAGTTTTATTTTGGGGGAATAAATATTACCAGGAACACAAAAGACCTGTACAAAGAAAACTACAAAACATTACTTCAAGAAACCATAAGAGATTTACATAAATGGAAGAACATCCCATGCTCGCGGATAGGAAGATTAAACATTGTGAAAGTGTCAGTTCTACCCAAAGCGATCTATCATTCAATGCAATCCCAATCCAGATCCCATCAACATTCTTTAAAGATATGGAAAAAACAATCACTAATTTTATATGGAAAGGAAAGAGACTTCAGACAAGCCAAACATTATTGAAGAACAACAACAAAGGAGGAGGTATCACACTCCCAGATCTCAAAACCTACTCTACAGCCACAGTAGTCAAAACAGCCTGGTATTAGTACAATGACAACACATAGACCACTGGAATAGAATGGAGAACCCAGAAATACATCCATCAACCTATGGTCAGCTGATTTTTGACAAAGGGCTAAAAACCATTAAATGGGGAAGATACTGTCCCTTTAACAAATGATGCTGGCAAAATTGCGTATTCATTTGCAGAAAAATGAAACAAGATCTGTACCTCATACCATACACAAAAACTAACTCCAGATGGATCAAAAACGTAAATGTCAAACCTAAAACTATAACTTTCCTCAAGGAAAAAAAAATAGGAACAAATTTAGGGGCCCTGGTAGCGTAGTGCCTAAGGCACTTGACTGCTAACCAGAAGGCTGGCGGTTCAAACCCACCAGCCACTCCTTAGAAGGAAGATGGGGCAGTCTACTTCTGTAGTGATACTGCCTGGGAAATCCAAGGAGGGGTCACTATGAGTTGGGTCCAACTCGAAAGCACATAACAATAACAACAACTTATGGCATAAATAAACTGTCATGCATAACCCAAAATGCACAAACAGCAGAAGATAAACTAGATGAATGATACTGTCAAAAATTAAATTTTATGTGTTTCAAAAAACTTCTCCAAAAGAGTGAAAAAAGAACTACAGATTGGGAAAAAATATTCAGCAACAACATATCTGACAAGGGACTTATCTCTCAAATTTATAGAAAACTCTAACACCTCAAACAAAAAGACAAATAATCCAATTCAAAACTGGGCAGAAGACAGGAATAGATACTTCACCAAAGAGGATATTCAGGCTACCAACAAACACATGAAGAATTGTTCACCCTCATTAGGCATTAGAGAGGTGCAAATTAAAACAACAGTGAGATACCATCTTGCTCCAGCACTAATAGCAAAGTTCAACAAGACAGAAAATAGCTAATGCTGGTGAGGATGTGGAGAGATTGAGACTCTCATACACTGCTGGTGGAACTGTAAAATGACACAACCACTCCATTTGATCCAGCAATCCCATTACTAGGTATGTATCTTAAAGAAATGAAAGCCAGGACAAGAACAGATATATGCATACCCATGTTAATCGCAGCACTATTCAATAGCAAAAAGATGGAAACAACCTAAGTGCCCATCAACAGAAGAATGGATAAGCAAACTATGGTACATACACACAATGGCTGTTGTTGTTAGGTATTGTCACGCATCGTCTCCGGCTCATAGCCACCCCATGCATAGCAAAACGAAACACTGCCCAGTCTTGTACTAGCCTTGTGATCCTTGCTATACGTGAGCCCATCATTGCAGCCACTGTGTCTAGCTATCTCATTGAGGGCCTTCCCCTTTCTCATTGACCCTCCACTTTACCAGCCATGATATCGTTCTCCAGGGAATGGTTCCTTCTGACAACATGACCAAAGTAGGTGAGACAAAGTCTTGCCATTCTCGCTTCCAAGGAGCATTCTGGCTGCACTTTTTCCAGGACGGATTTGTTAATTCTTTTTGCAGTCCATGGTATTCTTAGCATTCTTCTCCAACACTACAACTCAAAAGCACCAACTCTTTTTTGGTCTTCCTTATTCATTGTCCAGCTCTCACAAGTATAATAGGCAATTGAAAATACCATGGTTTGGGTTAGGCGCACCTTAGTCTTCAAGGAGACATCTTTGTTCTTCATCACTTGAAAGACGCCCAATGCAATACGTGGTCTGATGGCTTGACTGCTGCTTCCATTGGTGTTGAGTGCAGAACCAGGTAATACGAAGTCCTTGACAACTTCAATCTTTTCTCCATCCACTAAGAAGCTGTTTATTGGACCAGTTGTGAGAATTTTTGCTTTCTTTATATTAGGTGTATTACATACTGCAGACTGTAGCCTTTAATCATCAGTAAGTGCTTCAAGTCATCCTCACTTTCAGCAAGCAAAGTCGTCAACTGCATATCACAGGTTGTTAATGAAATCTTCCTCCAATCCTGATGCCACCTCTTCTTCATATAATCCAGCTTCTCAGATTATGTGCTCAGCACACAAGTTGAATAAGTATGGTGAAAGGATACAACCTTGATGCACTCCTTTCTTGATTTTGAACCATGCAGTATCCCCTTGTTCTGTTCGAATGATACCATCTTGATCTATGTACAGATTCCTCATGAGCAGAATTAAGTGTTCTGGAATTCCCATTCTTCTCAATGTTATCCATAATTTGTTAAGATCCACACAACTGAATGCTTTTGCATAGTCAATAAAATATAAGTAAACATCGTTCTGGTATTCTTTGCTTTGAGCCAAGATCCATCTGACATCAGCAATGATAATCCCTCGTTTCATGTCCTCTTCTGAATCCAGCTTGCATTTCTGGAAGTTCTCTGTCAATATACTGCTGCAACCGTTTTTGAATTATCTTCAGTAAGATTTTGCTCGCATGTAATAATGATATTGTTTGATAATTTCCACATTCTGTGGGATCACCTTTCTTTAGAATGGATACAAACATGGATCTCTTCCAGTCAGTTGGCCAGGTAGCTGTCTTCTAAACCTCTTGGCATAACCAAGTGAGTGCTTCTAACGGGGGCATCCATTTGTTGAAACATCTCAATGGTATTCTGTCAATTCCTGGAGGCTTGTTCTTTGCCAATTCCTTCAGTGCAGCTTTGAGTTCTTCCTTCAATACCATTGGTTCTTGATCATATGCCACCTCCTGAAATGAATGAACATTGACCAGTTCTTTCTGGTACAGTTACTCTGTGTATTCCTTCCATCTTCTTTTGATGCTTCCTGCATCATTCAATATTTTGCCCATAGAATCTTTCAATCTTTCAATATTGTAAGTCGAGGCTTAAATCTTTTCCTCAGTTCTTCAGCTTGAGAAATGTTTGGTTTACTAACTCCAGGTCTTTGCGCATTTCAGTACAGTAATTGGCTTTGTCTGCGTGGTAGTTAAGTTTGTGTGTCAATTTGGCTGGGCCTGGTTGAGTGGATGGGCAGCTGGATGTACTATTCCCCATGATGAGACTGGTAATCAATTCCATGGTGGAATCTACTGTGAGCAGCTGAGTAGCTGCCCTAGGGATGTGGTCTGCTTCCTGTATATAAGGAGAAGGCCATGGGAATGGTCTCTAGCTTATGGCATGCTTGGACCCTGCATGTAGCCATGTCATTGTTCAGCAGCCTGCATGCTCTGCCAACCTTGGGACTTACAATGGACTTGAATTAATGGCCTGCCCTGTGGTTTGGTAACATCGGGACTGTGCCAATTTATTTGTCAACCTTGGCCTTGTTAGTCTCAGCAGCCAGTAGCTGCCTGAGTGAAGCCTCTAACTTCAGTGGGCCAGAAGCAAGAGGCAGAGCTGAAGCCCAAAGTCGAAAGGCTGGCACTTTGAACTTGGACTTAAAGCCTCCAAACTGTGAAAGAGTAAAATCCTGTTTGTCAAGGCCATCCCATTTGTGGTATACTCTTGTCAGAGTGGCACTAGGTAACCAGAACAGTCTGCTTGAGCTCCTCTTTGAAATCTTCTGTTCAGCTCTTTTATCTTGTCATTTCTTCCATTTCCTTTAGCTACTCTCCACTCCTTGAGTTTCAGAGTCTCTTCTGACATCCATTTTGATCTATTCTTCCTTTCTTGTCTTTTTAATGACCTCTTGCTTTCTTCATGGATGATGTTCTTGATGTCATCCCATAATTCCTCTGGTTTTCAGTAATTGGTGTTCAATGCACCAAATCTACTCTTTAAATGGTCTCTAAATTCAGAAGGGATATAATCAAGGTCATATTTTGGCTCTTGTGCACTTGTTTTAATTGTCTTCAGCTTCAGCGTGAACTTGTATATGAGCAGCTGATGGTCTGTTCCACAGTCAGCTTCTGACCTTGTTTTGGCT